TATTTTTTTATTGCATTTTAGGTTTTAGGGTACATGTGCAGAACATGCAAGACATTTGCATAGGTTTGTTGCCTTCCTCCCCTTCACCCACATTTGGCATTTCTCCCCAGGCTATTTCTCCCCAGCACCCCCTCCCACTGGCCCTCCCCTCTTCCCCCCAATAGACCCCAGTGTTTGGTACTCCCTTCCCTGTGTCCATGTGTTCTCATTTTTCATCACCCACCTATGAGTGAGAATATGCAGTATTTCATTTTCTGTTCTTGTGTCAGTTTGCTGAGAATGATGTTCTCCAGATTCATCCATGTCCCTATAAACAACACGAACTCATCCTTTTTGATTGCTGCATAATATTCCATGGTGTATATGTGCCACATTTTCCAAATCCAGTCTATCTTTGATGGGCATTTGGGTTGGTTCCAGGTCTTTTCTATTGTAAACAGTGCTGCAATGAACATTCGTGTGCATGTGTCCTTATAGTAGAACGATTTATAGTCCTTTGTATATATACCCAGTAATGGGATTGCTGGGTCAAGTGGAATTTCTATTTCTAAGGCCTTGAGGAATTGCCGCCACACTGTCTTCCACAATGGCTGAACTAGTTTACACTCCCACCAACAGTGTAAAAGTGTTCCTATTTCTCCACATCCTCTCCAGCATCTGTTGCCTCCAGATTTTTTTAATGATCACTATCCTAACTGGCGTGAGATGGTATCTCAATGTGGTTTTAATTTGCATCTCTCTAATGACCAGTGATGATGAGCATTTTTTCATATGTTTGTTGGCCTCATGTATGTCTTCTTTTGTAAAGTGTCTGTTCATATCCTTTGCCAATTTTTGAATGGGCTTGTTTGTTTTTCTCCTGTAAATCCATTTGAGTTCTTTGTAAATTCTGGATATCAGCCCTTTGTCAGATGGGTAAACTGCAAAAATTTTTTCCCATTCTGTTGGTTGCCGATTCACTCTAGTGACTGTTTCTTTTGCCGTGAAGAAGCTGTGGAGTTTGATTAGGTCCCATTTGTCTATTTTGGCTTTTTTTGCCAATGTTTTTGGTGTTTTGGTCATGATCCCTACTCATATGTCCTGAATGGTTTTGGCTAGATTTTCTTCTAGGGCTTTTATGGTGCCAGGTCTTATGTTTAAGTCTTTAATCCATCTGGAGTTAATTTTAGTGTAAGGTGTCAGGAAGGGGTCCAGTTTCTGCTTTCTGCACATGGCTAGCCAGTTTTCCCAACACCATTTATTAAACAGGGAATCCTTTCCCTGTTGCTTGTTTTTGTCAGGTTTATCAAATATTGTATGGTTGTAGGTATGTTGTGTTACGTCCGATGCCTCTGTTTTGTTCCATTGTTCTGTATCTCTGTTTTTGTACCAGTACCATGCTGTTTCGATTACTGTAGCCTTGTAGTATAGTTTGAAATCCGGTAGTGTGATGTCCCCCACTGTGGTCTTTTTGCTTAGAATTGACTTGGCTATGTGGGCTCTATTTTAGTTCCATATGAAGTTCATGATGATTTTTCAAGTTCTGTGAAGAAAGTCAATGGTAGCTTGATGGGGATAGCATTTCTGTAAATTACTTTGGGCAGTATAGCCAAATATTATTGTTAATTGAAGGATAGTAATTATATACATGTGTGGATACAACATGATGTTTTGATATATGTTTACCATGTGATTAAAATGATTTAATCAAATAAATTAACTTATCTGTTAAGTGGCTTACCTGTCATTTTTATAATGGGAAATTTGAAATTTACTCTTTTGATTATTTTGAAATATACAATACATTGACTATAGTCACAATGCTGTGTAATAGATCTAAAATATTATTTCCCCTGTCTGTTTGAAACTGTTAGTTTGCTAAGAATGGCCTCTAGCTCCATTCATGTTCCTGCAAATGACATGATCGCTTTCATTTTCATGGCTGTGTAGTATTCCATGGTGTATATGTACCACATTTACTTTATCTAGTCTATCATTGATGAGAATTTAGGTTGATTCCATGTCTTTGCTATTGTGAATAGTAATAATAGTAAGCTCTGTTGGCTTGTTAAAAATGATCCAGCTCTCTCTATGAGATCAAAGGACATGATCTCATTTTTTTTTTTGGCTGAGAACGTACACCATGCTCTCGCTTACAACTGGGAGCTGAGTGTTGAGAACACATGGACACAAAAAAAGGAATAATAGACACTGGTGTCTACTCGAGGGTGCAGGTTTCGAGGAAGGAGAGAATCAGACAAAATAACTATTGGGTGCTATGCTTAGCACCTCAGTTACAAGATAATCTGTACAACAAACCCTCACAACATGAGTTTACCTATGTAACAAACCTCTGTGTGTACTCCCAAACCTAAAATAAAAGTAAAAAACAAAAACTGTACTTTTTGAGAAACAGCTCCTCATTTCTTCTCTCCCTGCTCCCCCAACCTCTGGTATCCAGTATTCCACACTGTACCTACACAGACCTAGGTGATATAGCCTTCTACACACCTAGGTTATAGTCTTTTATTGTATGGCCTGTTGCTCCTGGGCTGCAAGCCTAGACAGCATGACAGAATACTGTAGAATTCTAACACAATGGTACATATCTGTTTATCTATTTAAATTTATATATATATTTTTTGAGATGGAGTCTTACTGTTTCCCAGGCTGAAGTGCAGTGGCATGATCTTGACTCACTTCAATCTCTGCTTCTTGGGTTCAAGTTGTTCTCCCACCTCAGTTTCCCGAGTAGCTGGGACTGCAGTGCTGCATCACTATGCATGGCTGTATTTTTAATAGAGATGGGGTTTCAACATGTTGGACTGGTCTCAAACTCCTGACCTCAAGTGATCCACTCACCTTTTTTTTTTCACCTTGGCCTCCCAAAGCGCTGGGATTACAGGCGTGAGCCACTATGCCTGGCCATATCTGTGTATCTAAACATGAAAAAAGGTACAGTATTAGACAGAAATAATAGACACTGGGCCCTTTATAAGGGGGAAGGGTGAGAGGAGGTTGAGATTTGAACAATTACCTATTGAGTAGAATGTTCACTGTTTGGTTGAGACTGAAAGCCAAATTCTAGTATGCAATATATCTAAGTAACGAACCTGCACATAGATCCCCTCAATTCAGAAATTAAATATATAGAAGTATAAAAGGCTGGGCACAGAGGTTCATGTCTGTAATTCCAGCACTTTGGGAGGCAGAGATGACGGGCAGATCACTGAGGTCAGGAGTTCGAGACCAGCATGGCCAATAAGACAAACCTCATCTCTACTAAAATACAAAATATTAACTAATGGTAGTGAGCACCTGTAATCCCAGCTACTTGGAAGGCTGACGCAAAAGAATAACTTAAATCCGGTAGGCAGAGGTTGCAGTGAGCTGAGATCACACCACTGCACTCCAGCCTGGGTGACAGAGCAAGACTCAGTCTCAAAATACATACATACATACATGTTTAAATAAATAAAAACAACAAAAAGTAAAGGTACAGTATTATACTATTAAGGAAGCACCATCATATATCTGGCCCATCATTACTGAAATCCTGACTGTCCCCGTTATTTTGTAATATATGTATATATCCTAATTGTTTTTTTTCCGTTAATATTTAAGGCATTTGCTTTAGTGTATTGGGGCTGGCATCACAAAATAGCATAGGCTGAGTGCTTTAAACAAAGGAAATTTATTTTCTTACAGCATCGGAGACTACAAGTCCAAGATCAAAGTGTCAGAAGATGTAGTTTCTTCTGAAATCTTTTTTCTTGTCTGGCAGATGACCTCCTTATCTCTGTGATTTCACATGGTGTTTCTACTGTTGTCTCCTGGCTGTCCACATTTTATTTTCTTTTAAGGATGCCAGTCAGTTTGAATTGGGCCCCACTGTAACAGTCTCATCTTTTTTTATTGATGCCCAGGCTAGAATGTCATGGCATGATCTTGGCTCACTGCAACCTCCACCTCCCATGTTTATGTAATTCTCCTGCCTCAGATTCCTGAGTAGCTGGGATTACAGGGGTGCACCACCATGCCTGGAGATGGAGTTTCATCATGTTGGCCAGGCTGTTTTCAAACTCCTGATTTCTGGTGATGTGCCCACCTTGGCCTCCCAAAGGGTTTGGATTACAGGTGTGAGGCACCATGCCCAGCCTAGTCTCACTTTTTAATCACAGTAATGAAGGCTTATCTCAGTTAAGGTCACATTCTGAGGTACTGGGGTTTAGGGCTTTAACATATAAATTTTTGATTGCAGGGGGAGACAATTCACATTTGATAGATTTCAACCTTGACTTACCTTCCAGATCATGGTCATTTGCCTTTAGAATGGCCCTTTTGGGGGTAAATTCCAAGACCCCCAGTGGATGTCTGAAATGATGCATAATACAGAACCTGATATATACTATGCTTTTTTCTTTTCTTTTCTTTTATGAGACAGAATCTCATTCTGTCACCCAGGCTCGAGTGCAGTGCCACGATCTCAGCTTACTGAAACTTCCACCTCCTGGGTTCAAGCAAATCTCCTGTCTCAGCCTATTGCTGGGATTACAGGCATATGCCACCGTGCCTGACTAATTTTGTTTTTGTATAGTTAGTAGAGATGAAGCTTCACCATGTTAGCCAGGATGGTCTCCATCTCCTGACCTTGTTATACGCCTGCCTCGGCCTCCCAAAGTGCTGGGATTACAGGTGTGAGCCACTGTGTCTTGCCTACTATGTTTTTTTTCTATGCATACTCACCTATGATAAAGTTTTATTTATAAATGAGAAGCAGTCTTTTTTTATTATTAGTTACTATTGTTAGTTTCTTAGGTTCACACTGAAGCTAGCAATAGTAAAAATAATAAAATAGAAAAATTATAAAAATACACTATTAAAAGTTATTTGAATGCTGTCTGTGCCCCTCAAAATATTTTTTTGTGGGAGAGGTTGTTTTTGTTGAACAGGCTGAGGCTGGAATGCAGTGGTGCAATCTTGACTCACTGAAACCTCTTTTTATTTTATCTTTATTTTAGAAAAGGTCTCACTCTGTTGGCCAGGCTGGAGTGAAGTGGCATGAACGAGACTCATGGCAGCCTTGAACTTCCAGACTCAAGGGATCCTCCCACCTCAGCTTTGAGTAGCTGGGACCACAGGCACATGCCCACACACCTGGCTAATTTTTAGGTTTTTGTAAAGGCGGGGGTCTTGCCATATTTTCTGTGCAGATATGGAAATTCTGGACTCAAGCACTCTGCTGCCTTCAGCCTTTCAAAGTGCTGGGATTACAGGCGTGAGTCACTATGCCCTGCTTGTCTCTTTCTTTCCCTCCCTCCCTTCCTTCCTTCCTCTCTTTCTTCCTTCCTTTCTTTCTCTTTCTTTCCTTCCTTCCTCCTTCCCTCCCTACCTTCCTCCTTCCCTCTCCCCCTCCCTCCCTCTTTTCCTTCCTTCCTTCCTTCCTTCCTTCTTTCCTTCCTTCTCTTTCTTTAGATGGAGTTTTGCTCTTGTCCAGGCTGGAGTTCATTGGTGCAATCTCAGCTTGAGTATACCTTAGGAGTTTTTCTGGTCCTTACTGGAGAAAGTTTTATTTTTAGATATTAAAGTTTATACAATTTTGAGCAACTATGCTATAATATTACAGCCCTAGATTTGTTCATGGATTTCTTTTTTTGTTTTGAGACATGGAGTTCTTCTCTTGTCAATGAGGCTGATGTGCTATAGTGTAATCTCAGCTCATTGCAACCTCTGCCTCCCAGGTTCAAGCAATTCTCCTGCCTCAGCCTCCTGAATTGCTAAAATTACAGGCATGCACCACTATACCTGGCTAATATTTATGTATTATTTGGAAAGACAGGGTTTTATCATGTTGTCTAGCCTGGCCTGGAACTCCTGACCTCAGGTGATCCACCGTTCTTGGCCTCCCAAAGTGCTAGGATTACATGCATGAACCACCACACTGGGCCTGTCCATGGATATTTTAAAAGATGTGCTTTGAGCACTCTAAAACAAAAGCAGTAGGCCTAAAATTTATATTTAGGTATTTCTACTATATTACAGATCAGATATTGTTTTTGTGGAGCTATAGTTTAATAGGTTTTTAAAGGTAATAAGACATTGTATATTCTTGAATATTGTTATTTTCTAGTAAGTTTACTTAAATAAGCACAAATGCAAAAGACAGGAGTGATAGATAATATTGAAGCACTAGGAAAGAACTCTGTGGGTAAAAACTCAACATCAAATACACAAATACTGCAGTGAGCCTAAATTGCACCATTGCATTCCAGCCTGGGCAACAGAGTGAGACTCCGTCTCAAAATAAAATAAAAACAAAACAGGAATATGGTAACTTAAAATATTTATATTCTTTTCAAGTGGTCTTTGAAAAACAAAAGCAAATCTATCTGCAAACACATGTAGGTGGGGCAAGAGTGTGTGAAAATGGAACATTAATGAAGATTGATTGATGAAAAATGTGATCTAAAAAGTAGAAAAAAATTTTTTCCACCATTTTGATGAAAGATCTTTTATTTTGTCTTTTATCACTCAGGATAATAAAATTGCAAATAAATCAGATACTTTAAGTTGTCCTATGATTTACGTTTTACTAATCCATATGTGTAGAAGTGTAAGGGATTTTTAAAAGAGAAACAAGGTTGAAATTCCTAAATCTGAATTCAGATAAAAGGTGAATCTTCAAAAGAATTTATAATTTTGGAAAATAATTTTAAAGAAAGGCATACCAGTCAGTGATTATCTAGTTACACAATTTGTTGTCAGAGATTGTGAGGGCTTTACTATAAAAACTACAGGATGAACCATGAATCCTCAGTGCTGAGGTTTTGTTTGTCTTCTTTCTTAATAGGTGAACATTATACCACTGATTGCCAAAGGAGACACGTTTCTTAAACGATTTCCAGACGTTTAAGGGGAAGTAACGAGTGAGTTGATTAGCATTGGCATTCAGATATATCAGTTCCCAACGGATGAACAAACTACTGCTCGAGTGAACTCCAATTATGATAAGCTTCAGTAACAATATCTGACAGATGGTATAGATGAGTTTTAACTAAAATCCTGTATGAAAGTTTTATTTGTTGATTTCAAAAAACTTTTGCTGAGAATTGACACTTTGTATACAGATTTATTTAGATTAAATTTATACACCATATTTCTTAAGGCCTATAAGTTTCTTCTCAGAAGTATATTTTCTTGCTTTGATATCAAGGGGAAGCTGGCCTTATAAAATGACTCTGAAAGTGTTACCTCTTTTTTCTATTTTTTCAAGATGTTGAGTATGTTTTATATTAAATTTTCTTTGAATGTTTGGTAGAATTTACCCATGAAGTAATCTGGTCCTAGGCTATATTTTGGAGTTTGAAACATTACTTCTTCAGGTCCTCTATTTGTTATTGGTCTCCTTAAGCTCCCCATTTATTATTCATTCAATCTTGGTAGGTTATATGTTTCTACTACTTTTCTCATTTCTTCTAAATTGTAGAATTTTTTACTGTATAACTGTTCTTAATAGTTTCTTGTAATTCTGTTTATTTCTGTAAGACAAGATGTTGTCTCTTTCATTTCTTATATTAGTAACATATTCTCTTTTTCTGTTGTTAGTCTAGGTAAGGGCTTTGACTTTGATTTTTTTCAAAATCAGCTCTTAGCTTCATTGATTAAATTTTGTTTTGTTTTGAGACAGAGCCTCACTTTGTCACTCAGGCTGGAGTGCAGTGGAAATATTTTGGCTCACTGTGACCTCTACCTCCCAGGTTCAAGCAATTCTCCTGCCTCAAGCTCCCAAGTAGCTGGAATTACAGGTGCTGGCCACCACACCCATCTAATTTTTGTATTTTTAGTAGAAACAGGGTTTCACCATTTTGGTCAGGCTGGTCTCAAACTCTGACCTCAAGAGATCCAACTGCCTTTGCTTCCCAAAGTGCTGGTATTCCAGGCATGAGCCAGTGGGCCCAGCCAATTAAATGTTTTTTATTCTGTATTTCATTATTTATTCTCTAATCTTTGTTGTTTCTTTCCTTATGCTAATTATTGGTTTAGCCCCCCCCCGCCTCATTTTTTCAGGTATAAAGTTAGGTTGTTTATTTGACATTTTTTGTTTGTTTGTTCTATGAGGGGGAATCTTCCTTTGTCCACCAGGCTGGAGTGCAGCATTGTAATCTTGGCTCACTGCAACTTCGACCTCCTGGGTTGAAGCAATTCTCCTGTCTCAGTCTCAGTGTCAGTCCAGAATAGCTGGGACTACAAGCATGTGCCATCACACCTGGCCAACTTTTTTGTATTTTTAGTAGAGATGGGGTTTTGCCATGTTATCCAGGCTGGTCTTTAACTCCCAACCTCAAGCAATCTGCCCACCTCAGTTTCCCAAAGTGCTGGGATTACAGGCATGAGCCATCACCTGGCTGAGATTTTTTTTTTCTAAGATGTATGTGTTTACTACTATAAACTTCCTCTGTTTTTTATTTTAGATTCAGAGGGTATATGTACACATTTGTCAAATAAATATATTGCATACTGGTGAGGTTTGGCTTCTAGTGAACCTGTCCCTGAAACAGTAAACATTGTGCTCAACAGATTTCTTTTTGAGACATTTTCTTGCTTTGTCACCCTAGCTGTTGTGTGGTGGCATGATCACAGCTCACTACCAATAGGTAATTTTTTGACCATCAACCTTTTTCCAATCTCTCCTTTTGGAGTTCCACTATCTATTGTTTCCATTTTTATATTCTGTTGTGCTCATTGTTTAGCTTTCGCTTGTAAGTGAGAACATGTGGTATTTGATTTTCTGTTTCTGAGTTATTTCACTTAGAATAATGGCCCCCAGATCCATCCATGTTACTGCATAGAGCATGGTTTCATTTTTTATGGCTTCATAGTATTCCATGGTGTACATACACCACACATATAAATCCAGTCCACTGCTAATTGACATTTAGGTTAATTCCACGACTTTACTATTATGAGTAGGAATGTAATACACATATGACTGAAAGTGACTTTTTAATATAATTATTTATTTTTTCTTTCAGGTAGATGCCCAGTAGTTTGGGTTAAATAGTAGCTCTATTTTTAATGCTTTGAGAAATCTCTATATTGTTTTTTATAGCGGTTGTGCTCACTCATGTTCCCACCACCAGTGAATAGGCATTCATTTTTCTCTGCATCCTCAAAAACATCTGTTGTATTTGTAGTACTAGCCATTCTGTGTAAGATGATATCTTATTGCAGTTTGTTTGTTTTTGAGATGGAATCTCATTCTGTCCCTCATGCTGGAGTGCAGTGGTATGATTTTGGCTCACCGGGTTCAAGTGATTCTCTGAACCTAATCTCTGCCTCCTGGGTTCAGGTGATTCTCCTCCCTGAACCTCCTGAGTAGCTATGATTACAAGGGCCCACCACCACATCCAGCTAATTTTTGGATGCTTTTTAGGTTCCATATGATATTTAGGATCATTTTTTTTTCTAATTCTATGAAAAATGACATTGGTAATTTGATTGGAATTGTGTTAATATGTAGACTCCTTTGGTTAGTATGGTCTTTGAAAAATAATACTGATTCTTTCAATCCAAAAATTCTGGGATCCAAGATGGCTGATTAGGAGCAGCTCAGACTTGCAGCTCCCAGTGAAAGCACAGAGGGTGAGTGAATATTGCATTTCCAGATGGATTTTTATTGCCCACAGACCAGGAGATTCCCAGGTGGAGGAGCCCCACGGGTTGCCAGCATGGCTGTTTTGGTCCACACAGCTGTTTTGGCTGGCATCACTGTTTTTGCTGGCACCCCAGCACTGCAGGTCTCCACACAAAATACACGGGTCTGGGAGCCATTTTAGCTGGTGATTGGAGCTTCTGAGAGACAAGGTCACTCATTCAACTGATAAAAAAGGGGACTGAAGCAGAGAGCCAGGCCAGAAGATTCCTAGGCAAAAAGGTGCCACAAATCTCAGCATGGCTCTTTCAGCTGGTTCAGTGGGACCATATTCTTTTCTTTTTTTAAGACAGAGTCTTGCTCCATCACCCACACTGGAATGCAATGGCACAATCTAGGCTCACTACAACCTTCACTTCATGGGTTAAAGCAAGTACCCTGCCTTAGCCTCCCATGTATCTGGAATTAACAGGCACCTGCCATAACCCCCACCTAATTTTTGTGTTTTTAGTAGAGTCGGGTTTTACCATGTTGGCCAGGCTGGTTTCAAACTCCTGGCCTCTGGTGATCAGCCCACCTAGGCCTACAAAGGTGATGGGATTATGGGGTGAGACACTGCACCCAGCCTGGTTACTTTATTCTAAAGGTCGTGTGTGTGTGTGTCTGTGTGTGTGTGTGTGTGTGTAAGAGCACCTTGCAAACAAATATTTTATTTTTCTTTTGTAAAAAGACATTATTTCCACATTGGGAGTTGAGTATTTGCATATTTGAGGTCGAACTTTTACCCACAAAATTTTTTCTTAGTTCTTTGATATGGTTACTCCTATCTTTTGCATTTGAACTTAAATATAAACTTTGTAGAAAAATAACAATATACAAGATTTAAAAGTGTTTTATTATTTAAAATAAAATATCTTAATTAAAGCTCCAATATAGTAGAAATACATAAATACAAATGTTAGGCAGACTGCTTTTGTTTTAGATTGCTCAAAGCACATCTTTAAAAAAAAAATTCAGGAACAGGCCTTGAGTGGTGTCTCATGTCTGTAATCCCAGCACTTTCAGAAGCCAAGGTGGGTGGATCGCCTGAGGTCAGGAGCTTAAGACCAGCCTGGCCAAAATGATGAAACTACGTCTCTGCTAATACAAAATTAGTCAGGTTTGGTGGCAGGTGCTTTTAATTTCAGCTACTCAGGAGGCAGAGGCAAAAGAATTGCTTGAACCTGGGAGACAGAGGTTGCAGTGAGCCAAGATCACACCACTGCACTTCAGCCTGAGCAAGAAGAGCAAAATTTCATCTAAAAAAAAATCCATGGACAAATCCAGGGCTGTAATATTATAGCATAGGCGTTCAAAATTGTGTAAGCTTTAATATCCAAAACTAAAAGCTTCTCCAGTAAGGATAAGACAACTGCTAAAGTAGATTCAGGCCTAACATAAATGTTTGGGGTGATATTAATTAGAAAGCTGGAAAAGACATACTCCAGTGTGTTGGGTCCCTTTCAGCTCCCCCTGCCTTCTTTCTTTTCCTGACCCAAAATCACAGAGCGCCTTGGCCTCTCTGTGACCCAGCCAGCTGCAGAGTTTTCCCAGCAGGCTTGAACCAAAACCAGGTTATTGAACATTGCCAGCCACTAACCAACGTATCTAGATTGTTCCAAAAACACTGCAAGAAACTGGTCCCCAGCCCTGAGCCAAATTTCTTAAACCCTCATAAAAACTCCATAACCTGAATTTTGGAAAGCCAAGGAGGATTGCTTCAGGCTAGGAGTGTAATATCAGCCTGGCAGCATAGACCTTGTCTCTTCAAAAAATTTTTTTAAATTAGCCAGGTTTAGGGCCAAGCATGGTGACTCATGCCTGTAATCCCAGCACTTTGGGAGGCCAAGGCTAGTGGGTCACCTGAGTTCAGGAGTTGTTTAATATCAGCCAGGCAAACATGGTGAAACCCTGTCTCCACTAAAAATATAAAAATTAGCTAGGTATGGTTATGGGTGCCTGTAATTTTAGCTACTTGGGAGGCTGAGGCAGGAGAATCACTTGCATCCTGGAGGTGGAGGTTGCAGTGAGCCATAATCATGCCAGTGCACTCCAGCCTGGGCAACAAGAGCAAAACTCCATCTGAAAAAAATAATTAGACAAGTGTGGTGGCAGCACCTGCAGCCCCAGCTACCCAGGTGCTTAGGTGGGAGGATCACTTGAGCCCAGGAAGTCGAGGCTGCAGTGAGCCATGATCTGATGAAAAACAAAAACAAACAAAAACCAAAGAACAACAAAAAACTCCATAATTTGAACTCGCTGTGAACAAAGCTTGATAGGAAACCTCTTTTCTCCCACTGTCCATCACGAGGACTGAGCAACACTTGTTAACTCCCTCATAAACACCTTGGAATGATTACCCTTACATTTTAGTACTTTGGCCCTGTGGAATTCCAACAAGCCTCATCTCAGGACCATTTGAAATATTACCCTGTGGGAATTCCCCTGCTGCCATTTTTGGGGCA